AGCACCTGGGTAAGTCAGAAGTGAATCAATGACAAGAAATGATCATTGCGGGTTGGTCCACACTTCGTATGGAGAGTTCATATTTTATCAGTTATCATTTAAGGACTAATCAATTGGAAGATCTATTAATTGCCAGTGAATTACGCATGAGTAAATTATTATGCAAATAGACAGCAATAAGATGGAGTGCAGAGTGCACCTCTCTCAAAATTTGTTAGAATTACCATTATCATTAAAAATAATTAACACCGTGTTTGTCTTCAGTGCGAAGAAAAAAACGAGTCTGGATTTGGTCATCCAAAAGGGTCCTATACTTGGTTTACCATGGATCACAGGCTTTGGAATTAACGGCAAAATTTATGATCCATTCTTGCGGGGACGATACACGGATAAAGTTGACGTCGTCAGACTCGGAATCCCAACTGGATGATCTGGACAACAATCAAACGAATCAACATCACCGATGCTCAACGCATCAGCATTAAATGAATGCTTCATTTGACGCTTTTATATTACAGTTAATTTCTGATTTGTCTTTTAGCCATATGCATCTTCTGTATCTAGATCAACCATTATGAAAGCAATAAACTGTTTTTCCAACAACAAAGTGAACAGCATCTCTCTTGTTTCTGCAATGGAAGTGAGCGATCTTCATGGATTAAAATAAAACAATTCTTTCGATGTTGACGGTGAAATAATTTAATCGCGTTAGAAAAATAATTGATCCATCATCCGAAAAGATTTTGTTCGTCTACAAATTCGAGTAATCGGCAAAATCGATGGCGATTACCCTGATATTCGTTTGTTTGGAGTGTGTGCCTTTGTGCAGAAACTGGAGGCTCAAAGCTCAAAGCTGGAAGGAAGCACACGAGCTGTGCTTTCGCAATCATGTGATGTGAAGCGAAAGAGATAGATATCTGTACGGAAACTTCATTGTAACAAACACAATTAGGCGCTTTTCTGTTGCAAAACTGAAATTTTGTTTTTAACAAACCGATTTTGAAAGTTTTTCTAATAAAACTTCCCTTGGCATCAAACATTTTACGTCTGAAGCTGACCTATCATGCAAATGAACATGAACAGTATGTGAACAAACGAGCAACATCTGAGAATATTCAGAATTGCCATCGTTATTCTTGTTCTGATGACCCCCGTAGCCATCTTTAACTATCGTTTCAATTTGTTCCCTGGTTCTATGCGCATAAAATTCACTACTGCGCAGACTTTCTCCTATTCATTCATCGTCATATGATTTCGCCGTTTATATCTGAGTGGATTTCGAAATAATATAACATTCTTTGAGAATGCCTTTTTCTCCAATGCATTCTGATTCAGCCAAAATTGAATAGCTGTCCGTGATCGTTCCATAAACATTTCATCAGCACATCTTTGAAGTTGTCGTAGTGCTGATGAAGAGTGGGGCTTTTATTCGTAATAGCTGAATGAACAACTGAATTATAATCATTTCATAGTATCAAGAAATATTTGCCTTAATAAGCAAATTAATATACAAGTATAACTAAGGATCTGAATGAACATACGTCGTCGTCGTTGTGAGGGGATTGCATTTTGATGAATTCAACGAACAAAGATAACGATATTCTCATTCTAAGACATTTTATTACA